TCATACATAAGAGTGTTAGTTGTTAAATTAATAACAGGAGTCACTAACTCCCAGTGCAGGACCTCTGTCCTCAATGAATTGTATTATGAGAATTAACTGTAAAACTTATTCTCAAACAGTTTGTGTGTGTATGCATGTGTGTGCAAATTGTTAAAATCTTTACTTAGTGTAGAGTTGGTCTTCTGTGTACAAAGTTAATTGAAAATGAATTTTAATGGAAAATGGGACTGGGAAGGGGAGAGGGAGGAGATGGAGGTGTGGGAGTGTGGGTGGGAGGGAGGGTATGGCAGGAAGAATACTGTATTCCTAAAGTTGTACATATGAAATTTGTATTCCTTTAAAAATAAATTAATTAATTAAAAAAAAAATAATGATTGTCCTTGGGTATGGTTAAGCTGATTCTTGGAAATCTGTCTCTATTTTACACTGTCTCTTGAGACATAGTAATACAGGTACATTCATCCTAAGAATGAAGCAGAAATAAGAGGAAATAAGCCACAATTAAAACTCCACGTGTTAGGTTGGGAGGGAGTAGGGAAGGGCCACGCACGTCTCTAACCTTGTGCACTTTGGTAGCGACAGTGGCATTTCAGCTTCAAAGAGTGGACTAGGTAGAAACAAGGCCACCACATCCAAATGGTAGCAGGGTAGAAGAAACACGGGACACCTCCTGCCTCCTCTGGCCTCTGTCTGCTTTCAATTTTGCAAAATCGCTCCTGTCTGGAGATTGTATATTTTAAGTTGCCTCTCTAAGCTACACGGCGGTACAATGTCAGGGAGCCTGATCGCCAAGCCGGGCAAGGGGATGCAAAGGCTGTAAAGGCCCCCAACCCACAGGAAAAAAAGACAAGGACCGAGCGGCGTCTGGCACATGCAGGGACCAGGAAGGTGGCACCAAGAGCCGTAACATTTCTGTTATTGTGAATTTAAGACTTTCTACGTGTCTGTGTTATGAAACACTAATACCCCTTTGGAATTTCTAAAGGTGACTTCCTAAGAAACGTGAACCGGCCAGAGGTTTTACTGGAAATGAGATTCCATGGCAAGAGGCCTCAGAGTGAGCCAATTTCTCCATCACCCATACAGCAAAGGGGAAAACCGGGGACAAACGCTGGACTGTGTGCTGCACTTGTGTGTGCACACACACCACGATGTACCGAGCTCCTCGGTGGCAAGTGGAAGAGAAAAGACATGAACCGGTCCCCGTGTCCAGCTGCACCTCCCCAGTAAGCCACGTAGCTCTGTGTGGGGGGAATGATGCAATGATGTGTCCCAGGTTTTGCTTTTCACATTGCATACTTCTGAAATATAGACACACCTATAAGATGGGCACGCTCATTGTTTCGGCCTGCCGAGTAACTAGGAAGCTGAAATGAGAAGAAAGTGGGTGACACAGTGAACCTGGGGCTCAGAACACAGCCGGCCCTCGAGAATTGCTCCCTGTGTTATGATGTAGGCTAAGATTCAAGGGGATGCTTTAACTGTGGTGCAGTAACGGTACCCACAGCCTCCTCTCCAGCAGGGAGGGCCAGCCTTGCGCTTAGTGGATAACTGAGTCCATCTTCAGTTTGTTTCTCACGCGCACCTTCTCCAGCTCAGCTTTACTGAGCAGTCCGTGAACCCCGCACCACGGCGCACCTGCAAAGCAGTCTCTCCACCCCGCAGAGGCCGCGGTTTCCTTGGAAGGAAGCAGCACGCACAGAGATCGCCGCCGCAGTGGGGAGCAAACCTCCCGGAAGGCGCTCGTGCGTGTTGCAGGCGGCGTCGCCCGCAGAGGAACGGCAAAGCTGCCTACTGGCCGCTTCTGAGAGATAGCAAGGCGGACGCCGTGTATTGCAGTTCCGCGGCCTCACCACTCTCCTAGAACAATCCCTGCCCAATTGCCTGTGTCTAGGCACGAGTGTCAGCCTTTTCTGAAAGGGAGCAAGTGAGACAGCAGGTTGTTTTACTGATGCATCTTCTCTGTGTACTATTACTGAACAGTGATGGAAGCAGAGAAGTTACGGCAAGTGGGAGAACGCCTGGTCAATGAAGATGGACCTTGGTGGGGTGAGCGTGTGCGTGTGCCCTGTGCCAACACTGGAAACCCCAGGCCTCAGGCCCACTTCTGTGCGAGATGCACAAACCACATAATTATTCAGAACCAACAATGGTCCTCCTGATTTCTCCCTGGAAATCACTATAAATCACATGGGAAATTTTCCCAAGAGTTGAAAGTTAAAGCAAAGCCCTGCCCAGTCAATAACTCAGTGAATATATTCTGGCTAGGCCATGAAGCTATTCAGAAAATCTTGGATTAGTAGAGCAAAAATGAAACATAAACAGTGTCAAATCAAAACTGCTGTGGGCATTTTTCTTTTAAAGAAAAAGTTCTCCGGCTTAAGTCGTTATGTAATCAGAAACAAAGCATGGCTGCTGTTTTCAAAGGGACGGTGGAGAGCAGTAAAGATTTGATGTGCGGCCACTTAAAAGAAAACAGGCCCGGATGGTGAGATTACATAGTCTAAGTAGGAATCAGCCTGCAGGCACACCATGGGGAGAGGCCATGGCTGTGCCCAGCGCCCTGTCTGGGTGCCAGCCCCTGGAGGAGACAGGTACGTGTGGGCGCTGCCCCTGCGGTGAACAGAGCGGTCCAGCACGTTCTCGGGCCGTCTCCCTCCTCACCAGCGCCTCCACCCTCCCGTGGGCTGAGCCCTGGCTGTGCCAGACACCCAGGGACTCTCCCACACTCCCGGCCCGGTCGCCTCCAGCAGAGCCAAGCCTTGTCTTTGCGCACAGTTTTAAGGGTGCTAAGCGTGATGTCACTGCCCCCAAAGTATGACTCCTACCCATTGGACGCTGAAATTTCCCCAGTGAAAGTTCCCACCTTCGTGCTCGTACAGGACTGCTGCTGGAGGGGGGCCAAGGAATGGACACCCCCCCCCCACACGGGACAGCAACAGTGCAGGAAAACGCTCTGACCCCTCCTGCTCGCGTCCCAATTGGATTGTCACGTAACTTCCCGTCCCCTGGGTAAACTCTCAACACGCATGGGGTGTGACACAGGTGGAACTTCACGGGGAATGTGGTCCACATGGGGCACAGACGGGGTGCAGAGCATGGCCGATCAGGAGAGGGACACGGCGGGGACCTTGGGTGACCAGCGTCTACACCTCTGAGTTTGGGGCAGTGGGACAGAGCAAGGGCCGTTTCAGAGTACGTGCGTGGTGACCAGCAGCGACTGCCTGGTGTGACTTAAGGCAGGCCCTGCCAGTGGAACTGCCAGCCACATACACGGCCCCAAGTCGCCCCTTCCCGGCCAGCGTGTGCTCCACCTCCTGCCCTGTGCCTCTGCCTGTGTCTCATTTGGGAGCTTCGCAGCGGCTCCAGCAGTGTCTGGGCTTCGTGAACCAGGCTTAGAACAGCCCACGATCCTGTCCCGGGTTCCTCCATGCTGAGCAACCCCTGGCTGTGGCACAGCATGAATCCTTGTCACCTTGTTGGCCGGGAGGCAGTGTGTCGATCTCTTGGGAATTGCAAAGATCTACACGGGCCCCTGGAAGTAACCCAACCAAAGGTGTATTCTTGGTCAGTCCTGTCCTATAATTAGGAATTGGTCATTCTTTTTAAACAGGGGGAAAAAATCTTACTTGATCCTATTGACTCTTTTTTAAAAAAAAGAATTATTTTATTTATTTGAAAGAGTTACAGAGAGAGGTAGAGCCAAAGAGAGAGAGGTCTTCCATTCCGCTGGTTCACTCCCCAAAGGACCACAACCGCCAGAGCTGAGCTGATCCGAAGCCAAGAGCCAGGAGCTTCTTCTGGGTCTCCCACATGGGTGCAGGGGCCCAAGGACTTGGGATATCTTTTTTTTTGCTTTCCCAGGCCATAACAGAGAGCTGGATAAGAAGAGGAGCAGCTGGGACTTGAACCAGGCCCATATAGGATGCCGATGCTGCAGGCTGGGGCTTTAACCCACTGCACCACAGCACCGGCCCCTCTTGTCAACTCTTTCCTTCCTTTTTGCAGGCCTTTATTCTTTAAGAGAACTGTACATCGTTATGCTGTATAATATATAATAGGCCTCAGTAAAATTATCCCGATGGGCTGGCACTGTGGCATAGAGAGAAAAGCCACTGCCTGCTGTGCGGACATCCCACGTGGGTGCTGGTTGGAGTCCCAGCTGCTCTGTTTCTGATCCAGCTCCCTGCTAATGGCCTGGGAAAGCAGCAGAAGATGGCCCAGGTCTTTGGGCCCCTGCAGCCACGAGGGAGACCCAGGAGAAGCTCCTGGCTCCTGGCTTCACGGTAGCCCTGCTCCTACCATTGCAGCCAATTTGGGGAGTGAACCAGCAGATGGAAGCTCCCTGTCTCTCTGTCTTTCCTCCTCTCTCTGTAATTCTACTTTTCAAATAAACAAAAAAAATATTTTTTAAATAAAAAATAAAACGATCCCAATGCAACATGGGTTTCCCAGAAGGCTGGAAGCCTGGTCTATGGCTCTATCCCCTTCAACCACCTGAGGCCCCTGGCTTCCAAGCCATGGGACTTCCCTATGGACTCGGGGCCTGCAGGGCTCTTGGGGCAATTGTCAAGGCTGTGTTTAGTAAACAGGCTCTTGCACCCCTGGAAAAGGACCTTTCTGGACTACTATGGGAGAGAGATCTCCAGGACCATTATGGGTCACCTAGGTGGGGCAGGTGAGGTGGGATGAAAAAAGGGAAGTTGATGTCTGAAATAGAAAAAGCAATCAATCTAAGAAAAGTCTCTTCAGCCATTTCACCCAGTTCTTTGAGTTAAGAAGGACTTAGGAGCCCAGTTTTCCTGAAATCTTAATGTTGCTAAAAGCAGAGAATGTGTGCCAGTCAACATGAGGGTAATGCCATTGATTTCCGATCAGTGTCTTGGGATGAAGCTGACCATGCCAGTTAAGAGTATTTTTTAAGTGTACTTTCATTTGAAGTAGAGAAGATTAAAAAAAAAAAAAAACTGGAAAGAAGAAGAAGAAAAACACACTTTAACCACTTTACCTCATTCAATTTAATTTCCAAGCCAGCTCCGAACAGGAATGAAGCCATTCCTCATCTCTTCTCCTGAACACTCCTGATATTTTGCTAAGTGTATCATTTATTTTGCAGCAACTGTGTCAGGAAAGCTAACCCCAGCAGAATAATCCATGACTTACAGATGGGTTACAAAACAGCAGAACAATTAGAGAAAAAACAATGTAGTTTTTCTGTGCTAGTTGCTTTGTCTTTGTGAGTCTACGTTATTCAAAAAGACATTTTTTTTCCCCAGCAAATTGACTGGGGAGAGCAGTACGAGAAGGACACAGCCTTAGATGAGAAAAAGTAGAAATCAATTTTCAACATTAAATAGTGAATCAATGGAGTTGCTACAACCATCAGTCAAGAATATAGTTGCGGAAACGTAGTCCCAGGAATGTCATTCTTCTCAACTCAGGAAAATCTTCCCTTGTGAATCACAGAGATTAAATCGTTTTTACAGAGATTATGTCTAAGGAGGCCACCCAGATTCACCTTTCAATGACTCATTCCCTAGTAGCAACTCCAAAGACATTAAGCTCCTTACGCCAGAAATACACATGTCCCGTGGAAACTAAGTATATCGCATTGTGTCTTCCATTCACTGGGCTAAAAGCAGTAGTTGGCCACACGCTAGAATCACATTTCCACAAGATAACGCTACCAAAGGGAAAAAAATGAAAAAAAAAAATGTTTATTTGAGATCCTTGTGGATTAGATAAAATTTTCCCTGTCCAAGATGGGTGCCTCAGAACAATTTTGATCCTGACCCAGCAAATGCAATGTGTGCACTGGGTCTCTGGAATCTGAGGCGGGAAACTAAACAAGTGGTCATTACTGAAGGGGGTTTCCATAATTACTTTAATGGGAGAGAGCGATTTTATGTGAAGGTCTTTGTGACAACTCAGGAAGAAACAATCAAAAGGAAAATTGTTTTCACAGCTTGTGACAAGGTAATACCAATAAATAGGAATGGCGCCTTGATCGTTTATCCTGGAGACCCTAATACTTGGGTCGAACATATAATTTATCGTCCAAACCAAGATTCTTTAGAGAGTGAGAGGGACTGCAATTAACAATTATGCTGCAACAACAGGTGTGCATCTGGACAGTTCAAGCCAATAAGGGCATAGGACCGCCCTACTGATATTGCAAAGGAGATTGGCAGGTTTCTAACGAATGTTTCATTTGGAAGGGGCTTTTATAACAAGTGTGATACATGCCTGTTGCAACTACAGAAGTCATGGCTTTTACACATCTGTGATATATATGAGACAACATACCATTTGGCAACATATGGCTCATTGATTTAATGAAGCTATGGAAAGGATGTGAGAAATGTCTGCCTCTTTGGGGTGTGTTAAGTTTGAGATTCCTGCTAAAGCTAGTTAGTGATGTACAAAGGATAGCGAATGTATAGTTTAGGTTCAGGTTGGAATTTAGACATAAAACTGGGAAGACATCAGCGTGGGGAAGGTATTCAAAGCCAAGATGCTGCATGAGATCACCAAGGAACTGAGTTTAAATAAAGAAAGCAGGTGGCCCAAGGACTGAGCCATGAATAGTCACAACATTTCAAGACGAAGAGGACAAAGGTAAAGCTTAGAAGGAGCAGTCTGTGAGGTAGGAAGAGATCTAAGGGACACAAGTGTGCAGAGGAGCAAGAGGGAAAAGGATTTCCAAGAGAAGAAAGTCATCCACTGTGGCCAGTGAGTTGAGAGGTAGAGAAGATGAGGACTGAAATTTGACCATTGTATTTCACAAGTAAACACCACAAGTGACCTTGACGAGAGTCTGGGGAGAGTGGTTAGAGCTGACAGCTGGAGAGGCATGGGTTTAAGAATGGGTGAGAGGGTGAGTGTCCTGGCACATTGGGTTAATTCTCACTTTCAACCCGCACATCCCCTATCTCAGTGCCTGGGTAAGTCCCACCTCCACTTATAATCCAGTTTTCTGCTATTGCACCCGAGAGGCAACAGAGGATGACCCCAGCACTTGGGTCCCTGCCACCCACTTGGGAGACCCAGATCAAGTTGTTGGCTCCTGGCTTCAGCCTGGCTTGTTGTGCACATTTTGGGAATGAACCAGCAGATGGATGATCTTTCTCTCTTTTACTGACTATGTCTATTTCTCTGTCTTTCAGATAGATAAAAATAAAATTTCTTTATAAAAAATGAATGGAAGGGAAGAAAGTGTCTTTATCAAAGAAAAGCTTTTTCAAGGGAAATTGCTCTAAAGAAGTACACAGAATTGGAGGAAGTTTTCTTGATTTCATTGCGTGAGATTGGAGACATATTTAAGTACCAACAGGGATGATCTTGAGAGCATGGAAATTTTCCTGAAAGAGGTAGAGAGTTCGGCTTAACCCGCAGTAGGAATGAGAAAAATGTTAGCTGTGTTGTTATGGATGAATTGAAGAGGAAAGTGGTAGGGACAGGAGCTGGAAGTAGTGTTGCCGTGACCTGTCAGTCATGGCTTTAACCTGTTGATGAATAACAGAGGTAAAGGAACAGAGAGTTCTGGAAGCCTTAAAAGAGGCCAGGGAGAGGTCTAAAGTGAATTTGGGAGATTACAGCAAGCCAGAGTAAGGCTGACAAAGGTGTTGTTACGGGTGTGTAGAAATCAAGTGCCAACTTTTGATTGTGTTGGGCTTTTATGAATTATTTAAACTGAATTCATATGTTTGCTCTTTGGGTAAAAGAAAATAAAATTCAGGGTAGATATTGTGGCGGAGTGTGTGAATCCACCATGTGGGATGCCCACATCCTAACCAGAGTGCCTGGCATCAGGCCCTTGCCTCTGGTTTGATCATGCTTCTTACTAATGTACCTGGGAGGCAGCAGATGTTGGCCCAAGTTCCTGGGCCCCTGTCACCAACATGGGAGACCCAGATGGGGCTCCTGGCTCCTGGTGTCGGCCCACCCTGGCTTCAAGCAGTTGGGGACTAAACCAGTAGTTAGACTTTCTCTCTCTCTCTCTCTTGTTCTGCCTTGCAAATAAATACATAGGACTTTAAAAATTCAGACTGTCAAAGCACATAGGCTTTGACAGTATACCCATATTGTTTCTTTCTCCCTCCCTATGGGGAACCATTGTTCATGTAATTCAGTGTGTGTTCTTACAGATATGTGGGTGTGCACATATGTGTGTGTGTATATATGTGTGTGTGTGTATGCGTAATTACTTTACAAAAACAGCAAAAATACTATTTACACTATTCTGCAATTTGCTTTTATACCCAACAATGTGTCTTTTGTATTTTTCCATCTCAGTAAAAATAGCTTTTCCTCTTATAAAAAATATGAATAGGTAAAATATGAATATGATGCATTGTATAAAAGGGACAACAGGATATATAGAGAGTCTTTCTCCAACCTCCCAGCCAGTCAGTTGCTCCCCAGGGATAGCCACTATTCTCCATCCCTGCATTGTCCTCCACAGTTAGCTACTGCATTCAAATATTGATACGTAGGTGTTGCATAAATAGAGCTGCCGCTTCTCTTGTATTCTTATTTAATCAAATTCTGTATCTGAATGTTTCTAACTTTGCCCAGTCAGCTTAATGCAACCATACTGAACAATTTAGAATTTAATCAGCAAAAGAGGAGAAACCAACCTTGAAAGAAGATCAAAAGAAGGCATTCTAGATGGCTAAGAATTATAAATTAAGGCAGTTTGCAATTCCAGGTGCTAATATTCTTATTTTCAAAAGTGGATTGATGGGGAGGGCAGTGTGTCACAAGGGGTAAAGCCATGGCTTGGGACACCCACACCCCCTATTGAAGCGCTGGTTCATTCTCGGCTTTCCTGCTTCTGACCCAGCTCCCTGCTAATGTGCCTGGGAAGCAGCAGGTGATCGATCACTCAAGCACTTGGGCCCCTGCCACCCATGTGGGAAATCAGAATGGAGTTCCTGGCTCCAGGCTTCAGTCTGGCCTTGCTCTTTAAAAAAAAAAATCGATTATTTTTCTGACTTCCAAATAAGATACAAGCAATAAAGAGCCCCTCTCTGTTCAGGGCACCTAAGTCCTCTTAACGACCTGAAAGAAGCCTTTATCTGGAATCAATGAACGTTGAAAGTCATTTATATGTTCACAGAAACTTCTGGCTAAGAAACCAACTTCTCTTCCACGTGTCAGTGCTGTTACTGTTGATATTTTTCAGAGGCTGATTTTACCTATGTTGCAATTAAACAAATGTCACTGAAATAATGCATTTACCAGGAAATACTCAGGAAAAAAAAGTGACCCTTTCCTACTATATTGGCCGGCGCCATGGCTCAACAGGCTAATCCTCCGCCTAGCGGCACCGGCACATCGGGTTCTAGTCCCGGTTGGGGCGCCGGATTCTGTCCTGGTTGCTCCTCTTCCAGGCCAGCTCTCTGCTGTGGCCAGGGAGTGCAGTGGAGGATGGCCCAAGTGCTTGGGCCCTGCACCCCATGGTGGAAGCACCTGGCTCCTGCCTTCGGATCAGCGCGGTGCGCCGGCTGCAGCGCCAGCCGCGGCAGCCATTGGAGGGTGAACCAACGGCAAAGGAAGACCTTTCCCTCTCTCTCTCTCTCTCACTGTCCCCTCTGCCTGTCAAAAAAACAAAAACAAAAACAAAAAAAACAAACAAACAAACAAACAAACAAAAAAAAACATTATTAACTGGATTGGCTGGGCAGACAGTATCCTGTGGGATTCAATCTTCCACTTGGAAGACGAGGAAAGATTGTGTTCATTGCCTCTTCCTACTCTGAAACATGCTGGAAACATCAGAACATGAACCTGCAGCACAGCAGGAAGTTCCCAAGTATGACATTTTCTAGATAACCATATATTCAATAAATAGCTTTGCCTTTGGGTCTTTGGCAACTCTGGCCTGAATTGTCCCCTCGGAACCATGAATTAAGGTAATATTTCTTCCCAGAGAGGTTTACCAACTACTTTTTCTCAAAAAGATTTAATAGGACAGACATTTAGCCTAGTGCTTAAGATGCCCGTGTCCCAGATCCGAGTGCCGGTGTTCAGTTTCCGACTCCAGTTCACGACTTCCGCTTCCAGCTACTGCAGCCCCTGAGAGGTAGCAGTGATGGTGCCAGGGATTTCTGCCGCCCACTTGGGAGACTTGGATTGAGTTCCCACTTCTCAGCTTCAACCCAGCCCCGTCATAGCTACTGTGGACATTTGGGCAGTGAACCAGCAGATGGGAGCTCACTCTCCATCTGCTCACTCTCTGTCTCTCGAATGAATAAGTAATTTTGCTTTTTAAAGAAGATGCAATAGATGTAGGGCCCATACAAGCACATGCAAGGGGGCTTCAAAAAGTTCATGGAAAATGGAGATAAAACAAAAGCTTAATTTAATCCAAAAAAAATTTGAAAGCCATGCATAGCTTTTCATGATACATATTTTCCATGAACTTTTTGGAGACCCCTCTTGTGCATATGTCAGACTTTTAAATCAGAAATGGCTTTGGAATTATACATTATCCTCAATAACCCCTCATTTTATGAATGGGGAAAGTGAGCTCAGAAAGGCAAGAGATGTAGGGAGGGTGTTTGTTTAGCAGTGCAGATGCCACTGGGATGCTAACATCCCACGTCTGAGTGCTTGGATGTGCGCCCCAGCTCTGCCCCCAATTCCAGCTTCCTACTATTGCAAGTAGCTGGGTCCCTGCCACCCATGTGGGAGACATGGATTGGGTTCCCAGCTCCTGGCTTCAGCCTGGCCAGCCCTGGCTGTGATAGGCATTTGGGAAGTAAACCAGTAGATGAGAGATCTCTTTTCTTGTCTTTCTGCCTTTCAAATAAATAAAGTAAATAAATACTTTTTTAAAGGGAAGAGCTGTGCCAAGGCCACAGAGCTCCCAGCCTAAGGACGAGGACCAGAGCTGTATCTTTGGTTTAACTGTCTTGCCTTCCTCAAACCACACATGTAATACAAAATGAAATATGCATGCTTTAAAAAAGTCATTGATGATAATGTTCTATCCTTTCTATTGCAGGGGTCAGTGACACCATCACACAGGATAAGAACAATCCCATGTGATTTAAACTTCATGGCACGGAAAACCTGACAATCACCCCATCATTGCAAAGGTGGCATCCAATGACCCAGAAAGGAGTGAGGGAGATGATGGAGAATGAGGAGGGGAGTTTTATGTTCCTTACTGAGCCCCAAGTCAGCCTCCCCAGGCTAGCCCTTCTTTCCAGCTTCCAAGACTGCCTACAGGAGTCCTGTGGTTTCCAGAAGCTCCAGGTTTTCCCCGATGGCCGCCCCTTCCTCACATTTGGATAGGGACAGTGGAGTTGCTGTGAGGTGCTGAGCCTGCAACTCCCTGCCTTGGGTGAACATGGAGGTGCCCAGGTCAGCAATCAATTCTGGAATCACAGTGAGGGCAATGAAATTCAAGTCTATGATAATGGCTGGACCTGGGCCTCTGACACACAAGAAAGGATCTTCTGGGCTCCCGCAAAGGGCAGGGCGCCCATGCCGAGCGAGGAGACGCCTTCTGGGTCTGACTCACGCACCGAGTGTGGGCAAGGGAAGGTCGCAGAACTGGGAGAACACCCAGACCAGTTCTGGACACCTGCCTGTCTGCCCACGAATGACACTGTGGAATGGAAGGCAAGGAGACCGCCCCAGAGCTCGGCCTGGAGTCCGGGACTCCATGCGCATCCCCTGCTCCAGTCCTGGCCACCACCAGGAAGGCAGCCACTGCCTCCTGCCTGGCCACCAGTTCTGCGGTTGCCAGAAGAAGCCAACGGCCATAAATTCCCAACCCCACTAGATGTTGACCTACTTCTAAGGCTGACTGCAGCTTGCCCTTTGGGAAAGCAGTCTTCCTCTTGAGTACTCTCTGTAAATGAGTGCCACCTTGTCTCTTTCCTCCGTGTCATCATTATAATTAATAAGCAACAATATCATCCCTCGTGGTTATGTTCTTATTAAGTGTTAACTGGCCTTCGCGTCATTATCTCATTAAGGCTTTCCACCTCAATTACTCGATCAGCTTCCCTCTGAAGGGGCCTGGTACTGGCTGGCTGGAAGGAATCCCTTGCACAAATACAGGGAAGCAAAGAGATAATCACAGGCATTTACACCTGCTCCAAATATCAGCTTTTCTGAAAAATTGTCATTCCTACCACTGGGAATAACTTTACATTGTTATCAATCCTCTTATCCAAAATTTTTAGAACAATCCCCCAAAGCTTTTTAACTTTATTTCGCTCATTTTTATGGGAGAAATGGTTTTGGAAGAGGATATTTTCAAATATTGACAGCAGTTGAAACCTCGTCATCACCCAGCTTCTATTGGATAAATTGTCTCCAGTGCTCTCATCAGACTCTGAATTTTAAAATTGTACCTACAAGGCTGTGAGCAGGTTTGCTCGCCTTCTCCCTATTCGGTTGTTCTAAACGGAATCTTTTCTTCAACTTGCCCCGATGATGCTGAGCTGTTCTCTCTTTTAATAGCATTCATCTTATACATCAACCTTCTGTAGAAGGTACGTGAACACTCTTCCGTGCTTAAATGAGTGCAGAACACAGACCGAGAGATTTCTCTAGGAGCACTTTCATTCCTGAGGACTAATGCCACATTACGGCTTCCTCGAACGTGCTCAGGACTTCGCGGTAACCATGAACCTTTCCATCTCTTCCCTCTTTATTTCTAGGCTGTGCACATGCGCCACAGCTCGGCGGCTAGGCCATCGAGGGTTCCAGCTTGGCCGTTTGCAGGCACTGGTCGTGTTCTGCTTCCCCTCCCACTGCCTCTCCCCGAGCCCCTTAGTCAGCTTCCATGCAACTCATCATTCATCCTCACTTGCTTGAGAAATTTCCCGTTTTTAAGTATCTCCTCTTCTCGTGTTCCTCAGTACCCACGGATCCTTCAAACCCTGTTCGTTTAGCTTTCTCACAGACTGGGTGGTCTCACCGGCTTGCGGCTTGCTTCCTCCCCCTCCTTCACCTCCCTGCTTTGCCCGCTCCCCTCTGTTTCTGAAGGTGCAGAGCATGCTTTGAAACCGTGGCGATGAGCCTTCGTCTTCTTCCAGTTACTCGCATACTCTTAAAAACGCACCTATCATTCCAAGGGGGAAACTAGGCTCCTAACTCTCCAACCTTCCCACGGAAGCAACCAAACACACAAGAAGTCTTTTTATTTAATCAAAGGTAATACAAGGCAATACATTTGTAAAGGCTGATGCTCACCTTAGCTGTGTTGACCATTCTCCTCGTCCTTTGAGAATAACATCCAGTACAATGTTCAAAAGACACACCGACATCTTAGAAATTTGTCTTATAAACCTTCCCTCTTAGCCAAAGGAAAAAATCCTCAATGAAAATCTACCAGCATCAAACTGTTAGTGCCCACTCTCTTTTTCTAGAAGAGTACAATTTTAGTTTTCAGCATTTTTTTTTTTTTTTGGTTTGGTTTTGCTTTGAGCCCTCCCAGGTTTGAGGTGTTTTCTGGTTTTCTTGATCTATCTTTGCTCCCTCCTGAACTCTCAGGAGCAGGAATTCTAACCAACCCTGGAGACCCCGCTCAGCCCTGTGCCGTCTTCAGGAGCCTTCCCCAGCTCCTGCCCTCCTGGTGACGCCAACCTGTTGCGGGTTTACGAGGAGGATGCATTCCCACCTTGCTGTCCCCTCCCTTCCCCTCTGTCATTGTCTGACTCTGCGTTACCAATGCTGTCCCTGGCCACAGTCAGCAGGTTTCTGTGGCTGTGGGCTTTCTCCCAGCCTGGCTCCCTGGGCAAGGGGACGCCATCTTGCTCCCACAATGCCCCGCAGATGCTGGCAGGGGAAAAGCATCATGGCTGCCTACGTTATTAGTGATGACACCAAGGCGATGGGAGAAAACACAGTGATGAGAGCACAGCCTCATGACACAATGCTTAAAGGAAGAACTGCAGCAGTTGCCCGAGCTCCAACCATCGCCCTGTTGAACGCCCAGGGGGACCAGGGTTCATTTTCCAGGTGATTGATTTTCTCTTTTTTTTTTTTTTTTTTGACAGGCAGAGTGGACAGTGAGAGAGAGAGACAGAGAGAAAGGTCTTCCTTTGCCGTTGGTTCACCCTCCAATGGCCGCCGCGGCCAGCGCACCGTGCTGATCCGAAAGCAGGAGCCAGGTGCTTCTCCTGGTCTCCCATGGGGTGCAGGGCCCAAGCACCTGGGCCATCCTCCTCTGCACTCCTGGGCCACAGCAGAGAGCTGGACTGGAAGAGGGGCAACCAGGACAGAATCCGGCGCCCCGACCGGGACTAGAACCCAGTGTGCTGGCGCCACAAGGCGGAGGATTAGCCTATTGAGCCACGGTGCCGGCCTGATTTTCCCTTTCTATCACAGGCATGGGAGGGACTTTTAGCAGAATGAGGTCAGGGAATTATAACCACCGAAAGCTTGCATGGCTTCCATGTGGCTATGACTTGACTCTCCTAAACTGGTCCTGCCTTGGTGATTCTGCTCCTGGACTGGCTATGAAGATGTTGCTTTGAAAAGAATTGGGTTTCCCTACATTAATCCCTTTTTGGAAATAATCCAAATTATCTATTCTTTTTTTCTAAAATATGACCCCTCTCCCCTTCAGTATTCTATGACAATTCACACATGATTTCTCTTGAGGGTACGATCAAGTCTAATTTTCTTCATTATTCAATTTGGATCCTGTTAAGTGAGACAGGCATTCACTGACAAGAAGAGCATTTAAATTTCGGCAAATAAGTTCATTAGCATTCAGAAAGCTTTGCACCCCTCATATTTAATAAACCTTTCCATTACAGAACAAGAAATCTTACAAAATAGTCAAACAAATTAGCAAGGAGGCCACCAAGAGAGTATATTCAACCCTGATTCAGAGATGTCTTGGTTTATCAGTTTTCTGTCAATCATCAAAACAAGAAAAATGAAACATGCAATTACATACAAGGAGTCAGAACTCATAATTCTTTCATCTCAGCTGAAGCAGAAGCATTTTAATTGCCTGGAAAAATGTGATTTTTGTTTTCTTTCCTTTCAAGGAGGATGGGGAAAACAAATGTAAATTGCCTTAGAGTCAAGGCTGGAGTGACCAGACTCCAGACCATCCAACAAGAGGTAGAAAGACGAGCCTATCATCTGTATACTTTGTCTTCTCAATGGCCAATGTCCAGATATTTGAAAATGTGAGATGCTAGACAGAATGAGCCCTTTTTCATAGAATGTCTGGAGTCATCTGGGTCTACTGATGCCGTGTCTGCTTAGTGGGAGGAACACTGCTCTAAACTATTTGAATACATTGTCAACTATTCCAGGGTCAACTTTTCATTTATAGAAGTTACCCAGGCCTGCTATTGCTCTTCAAAGTTCTACCAGCCACTCTGTCTATGAATCTTACCCTGTTTTTAATGTAGTTACCAGAGGGAAAGAAAGCACAAGCCGAGGAGACAAAACACTAACCAATAAATTTAATAATAATGTACATACACAAAAGAGAAGGTAATAGAGAAGATTAAAGCCCTTGGCACTGGAGAAGTATAGACATGAACTGAAAGCGTCACCCATGCCTTGACTTCAACCATAAAGTAAAACTGAGTGAAGAATAACTAATTCCACCATTTAAGGCAGAAGTTGAAATCTCTAAAACTAGATCCCACGGTGAGATTCTCAAACCAAATAGTTTGTGTCAGCATTTCTGAATTTGAAATTCCACGGATTTAATTTTCTATATTTTCTGCACCCAAAACTATATATTAAACAAATTTGCTGGTGGTGAAAGAAACAGTGATGAGAAGTTCCTTATATAGGATTCATAATGAGGCAAGAACACATAACAACAGATTCTTATCTGATAAGTGTTTTTCCTTGTTAAAAAGCTCTCCAGAGGCTGGTGCTGTGGCATAGTGGGTAAAGCCACTGCCTATAGTGTCGGCATCCCATATGGGTGCTGGTTTGAGTCTCTGCTGCATCTCTTCAATCCAGCTCTCTGCTGTGGCCTGGGAAAGCAGTAGAAGATGGCCCAAGTCTTTGGGCCCCTGCACCCGTGTGGGAGACCAGGAAGAAGCTCCTGGCTCCTGGCTTTGGATCAGCACAGCTCCGGCCGTTGCGGTCATCTGGGAAGTGAGCCAGCAGATGGAAGACCTCTCTCTCTCTCTCTCTCTCTCTCTCTCTCTCTCTTTCTGCCTCTGCCTCTGCCTCTGCCTCTGCCTCTGCCTCTGCCTCTGCCTCTCTGTAACTCTGCCTTTCAAATAAATAAATAGATCTTTTTAAAAAACAAAAAACTTCTCCAGCCATGTGGATATATGAAGCACTGTGTGTATGAAAGATGTCTCTTGATGGAGAGGCATTGTTTTAAGTGCAAGAAATAGTAGCCCAGACTCCCTACCTGGGCAGGGCTGGGTTGCTGGGGGCAGGGAGTAGTAGTCGTTGGTGATCTTCACTGCATGGAGATTCATGCCAAGAAGTAAAAGGTTGTCTCCTCCTTAGATCTGGAGATAGCTCTTTCCCTGGTGACTCTGCCTGAAAGGTTACTGATGGGTATTTCAGGGCGTTCCAAGATTGTGCTCGATGCAAAGTGAGGAAGCAGAGAGGCAGAGAGTAGGCAAAGAAGAAGGGAACAAAGCCTCTATGAGCAGAACAGGGCATGCTGCCAGAACCTTCTTAACTCCAGAGGACAGAAACAGACTCATTGTAGCTTAAGAGGCCAGTAAAACACCCTCTCCAAAAAACTCACAGTCAAGTGAGTGTTGAAGATCTATTTGACCTAACTGGGAACTGGAAAGCTAAGCACTGGTATGGCCTGGGGCCTGACCTGACATTGTTAGGGGTTTGGAGTCATTCAAGGGGCACCTTGGAGCAACTCACCCAGTCACACAGTTCCTCAGTAGTGGGATAAAGACTAGACTCAGAGTGGGTATTTGATGCAGCAGTTAAGATGCCGTCCCATATCAGACTGCCTGTGTTCAAGTCCTGGCTCCACTTCTGATTCCAGCTTCCTGCTAACACGAACCCTGGGAAACAGCAGGTGATGCTTCAAGTACTTGGATCCCTGCCGGTAATGTAGGAGACCTGGGCTGAATTTTGGGCTCCTGGCCCAGCCCCAGCTGTTGGACATTTTGAGAGCTGAATCAGCAGATGGAAGGAGAAGGAAGGTGTCTCTCTCTTCTCTCTCTCTCTCTCTCTCCATTTCAAGAGCATTTTTTTAATTACTAAAATTCAGATCTCAAGGTTTCCAGCTCAATATTTTCCACGCTGATTCCTACATAGAACAGAAACAAAAGAAATAGAATTCTATTCTTTCCTACTTCCTGACCCAAATCACTCTATATTTCCCACCCTAAAAGCCCTACTAATCCAAATTCCCACTTCTGATTCCACAGGATATTGCATAGCTTGTTAGGGGAAAAAATAGCTTTTAGGGCATTTCTAGAATGCAGGATTACAGCACATGGTCACTAGGCATGTTTAAAAGCAATAAGAATGACCATATTGAATTCAAGAATATCTTTGTGATCAGTAGTTTGCTGTAGCCACTGCTTTTCATATCTAAGGAAAAAATTAGAAGATGAGAGCTCCATGGGGGTAGGAACCGTGTCTACTCTGAAGTCTAACTCTAAATTAGTACCTATTTGTTGTTAAATGTGACCACAGTTTGGAGTCATGACCATGACTCCAAACATGCTCAATGATGTCCCCATCTACAAATAGCCAGCAATGTCATCCTTAAGCCAAATATTTTTGAAGGTCTCAGCTCCATTGGTATCTTCTTCCATGGATTTAACTCAACACTGTGTCTGACCTCCTGGCCCATTAGCAGAGTTCAGGTTCCAGTTGACTTGAACTACTGTTTTAGCAAGAGGGCTCACCCCCAATAAATGAAGGCACTCTAAGGACACACATCCTGGAATTGGAAGACAGAGTCTATAGTAATGTCTTCATTGTCAAGCCCTAAAATGCAGAGAAGAGAAATGGAAGCTAATGAGTCAGTGCCTCCTTCAAATCACAACTTGTTCAGTCACTATTGGAGGAAAGGCTGAGCTCTGATGGAGAAGAACCAAGCAGAACAACTGCGATGCTCAAACCACACTCCATGCGCAAAAACATCCCAGCAGGAAAGAGGAGACTTATGGGAAAACAGCCTTACCCTCCTCCATAATATGATTATTCTGTCCTCCCCACCCCTAAGAAATGTATCAAACCCACCCGGAATTCCCCGAGATGGGATGGCAGATCCGTCTCCTTCTTGTGTTTCTGTGGCTGTGTTAGCACGCTGTTCTCGTTTGGGTGCCCTTCAAAGTCAGTCCTTGGACTAGGCATTTGGCACAGCAGTTATGATGGTGCTTGAGACATCAGTAGTCTGCACCTGAGTTGCCTGGTTTGATCTGCTTCTGATCCAGCTTCCTGCTAATGCATCCCCAGGGAGGCAGCAGCGATGGGTCATGTACTTGGCTCCCTGCTGCCCAGATGGAAGAACGGGACTGAGTTCCAGGCTCTGGGCTTCAGCATGGCCTACCCCACTTGGAGAGTGAACCAGTGGATGGAAGACAGCTCTCTCAGGGAGAGAGACAACTGGCCAGCAGTTGTCCAGCGGGCTCATTCTTCATCTGACCCTGATCCCAGCCATTACTTGACATGAAGCAGGCGGTCCAGTGAGGAGCTGCGGCTGATGTCCTGCCTCTTCTGGGCTCTGGGCAGTCCATCCAGAGTCTTCCTGATGATGGTGTCCAGTGGCCAGTTTCAAACAACTCAGCAGCAGCAGGGCAAGCAATTTAGTAAAAGGCCAAAAAGCTCCAAAGGACTGGGTTTTCCTTCTGTCTCAGCAACTGTAAAATTATAAATCAAAGATTAAAAAGTTAAGTCACTGCTCAAGTGAGGATCTTGGTAAATATATGGCTTAAACAAAACCCGATGATGGATTCATTGGCATATAAATAAAGTCTGTGGTTTTTGCAGACAATGGGGCAGAGACTACAGGGACACAAAAAATATGCCTAAGCATTCTCCATGCCTTCATTAATTTTGCTGTACCAAAGGAAAAGGAGAAGTTATAACTGCAGTTAAATAAACAAATGTGCATATACATGAATCTGCATGGTACAGTGTACACCACGAATGGGCTACAGTGGGACATACTGGGGAAAGAGGAAAGAGAAGAGAAAGAATCCCAAAAAATCATTCTCCTTCAGTGTTGGTAACAGGGCTGACCTGAACTGGATAGTGATCATGTGACCAGAGTAAGAGCTGAATCAATGATTGTATTTGGGGACAAACTTGGATCTAAGATCCCATGAAAATTTACAAGCACAGCAGCCTATGCCTTGTCCAGGTCCTATACAATTGATGCAATTGATTCCCAGAGTCTTCTGCAAAATGAAAATGACGAGGTCCTCACCCAAAAGTGGCGCAGATGAAGCGTCAGTAAATCACGCATCTGTCAAGAGCAACAGGGGTGATGAATCCGAGCACCACTGTCACAGGGAGGTAAAGGGCCCATGCCCTGACCACCCTCGGCTGCCGTCCCCTTCCTCACTGCCCCCTCTTCCCTTCCGGAGGCTCAGGACACCTGGGTTCATGTGCTATGATCTACCCGCTTTAATCTCTTTACTACAACAAGTAGTCATTAAACAGAGCATCTTCCAATGACTAGCCTTGATTACTTCATACTAGAGTACTAACAAATGGTGACTTGAACACTGCCCTTGAGCTATTTGAACCTTATACATGGAGCTTGAATGCAGGACAGTGAATTATTGGAATTTGGGAAGAACTGGGAGGGAGGGAACAGGAGCACAATGAAAGAGCAGGGTCTTCACACACTCTTGCTTAGCATCATCTGAGTGTATAGCAAAGCCTCCTGCAGATACCAGTGATCTCAGCTTGTCCAGAGTCTCCCCTCATCCGAATCCTCCACTTTACAAAGAAGCAAACCGAAAGGTGAATGAGTGGCTTCCTCGGTGTCTCCCCGGTAGCCCAGGACTGAGCCCAGGTCTCCCAGACCCCCGTCCTCAGCCCTGCCCAAGTAAATCCCAGTGAGCACACGTTGGCTTTGTTCCAGACACAGGCAGGAAAGTCGTATTCCTCAAACTCGCAAGCAGTGTTTGGGCAGCAGCGAGGTAGTAATTTCCCCTTCCTGAATGACAGTCTGGCTGGGTGGGTCTGGGACAAGGCACAGGAAGCTGCGGGTTAAAAGGCTCCCTGAGGGCTCTGATCTTCAGGTGTGGGAATCCCCCTGCACTTGGCCACTCCTCAATCTACCAGCGCCAGGCACGAGGCTGGGAGGTCTCCCGGCTGGAGCTGTTCTGAGAGCGCCTCTTGAGCCCAAGTGCAAAAGGGCTGCTGACCAGGGGTCACAGGCAGAGCCTGGAAGACACACACCAACCTTGAAATCCCAAACAGAGGATGCTAGAACGGTCGGGAAAGATCTCCTCTCGGGCCCATGGCCCTTAATGACTTCTGGCTGCCCACATTCTTCAAGGTTCATGTACAACCCGTCTCCCAATATGTCCTGATGTAAGCGTGTGTGCAGGGGTCTGAGAGGGACACAGCAGAGTAAGATCCACCTTAAGTCATCAATTAAGAAGATCAGACATGCATACTTTTTTTTTTTTTGGACAGAGTGGACAGTGAGAGAGAGAAAGGTCTTCCTTTTGCCGTTGGTTCACCCTCCAATGGCCGCCAAGGCCGGCACACTGCGCTGATCTGATGGCAGGAGCCAGCTACTTATCCTGGTCTCCCATGGGGTGCAGGGCCCAAGCACTTGGGCCATCCTCCACTGCACTCCCTGGCCACAGCAGAGAGCTGGCCTGGAAGAGGGGCAACCGGGACAGAATCCGGTGCCCTGACCAGGACTAGAACCCAGTGTGCCGGCGCTGCAAAGCGGAGGATTAGCCTAGTGAGCCGCGGCGCCGGCCCAGACATGCATACTTAAGAATAGCAACATTATGGAGCAGAGTTGCTAAGGATGGAACACAGCAGGGCTGCTGGGTGTCGTGCAAGCATGTTCCAGATAACTCAACGATTGCCAAACCCATTGCCTGGCAGGATCTTCGGAGGCAATTCCTCAGCCCTGGGCATTCTGACTCAGTGAGCCCAAGGAAGTCTGGAATCTGTATTTTAAACAGCTCCCTCATGAATCCCAGCAGGTCCACAGATAGGCCGCTGAGACCCTTATAATGTGTTGAGGGCCAGGCTGTGAAGAATCCAGGGGATTGTGGCTTGGTTGTTTATACTAACGGTGTACAGCTCCTGTATTCTCAAGCTACTTAAACCGGCCCTTAGAACCCAAGTTTGCTTGGTTTTGTTCCTCTTAGGTCAGTCTTAGCCAACGCTCTCTTCCACTGGATACTTCCTACTTCAGGCCTCCTTCCTTTTCCAGTAGAAATAGGTGACTTTATTCTTCAGGAAAGCACACAGGCAAAAGCCCATGTATAGTCATATTTTGTATGATTCCATCTATATGAAATGTCTAGAATAGGAAAATCCATTCAGATAGAAAGCAGATTAGTGGTTGCTAAAGGCTGAGGGAAGGTGGAATGAAGGGTGACTGCTGCTGGGATAGGGTTTCTTTTTGGAGATGATGAGAACATTCTGGAATTAGCTCATTGCAATGATTGCTCAACTTTGTGACTATACTAAAAACCACAATGCTGTACACTGCAAGAGGGGGAATTTTATGGTATGTGAATTCCATCTCATATTTGAAAACCCATGGAGATGTATGGGTACCACATATCACATGCAGGTGGCTCACCTGGCTGCCTGTGTTCCCCAGGCAAGAGGCAGGGCAGCCAATGACAATAAAGCTGCCAGCTATTGTGCACTGATTGTGTGGAACACACCATTACACATTGTTTTCCTAGATAACATGTCATAACCAAAGATGTGGGCACTGTTGTTATAAAACCATAATATTATTTTTTTTAAAGATTCACTTATTTATTTGAGAGGCAGAGTTACAGACAGAGAGAAGGAGAGACAGAAAGGTCTTCCATCCACTGGTTCAATCCCCAAATGGCCACAACGGCTGGAGCTGGGCAGATCCAAAGCCAGGAGCCAGGAGCCTCTTCTGGGTTTCCCATTCGGGTGTAGGGGCCCAAGCACTTGGGCCATCTTCTGCTTTCGCAGGCCATCAGCAAGGAGCTGGGTCAGAAGTGGAGCAGCTCATGTCAAGAGCCTCGGGTGGTCACTGATGTCATACGTAAGAGTGTTAACTGTTAAATTAACAACAGGAGTCATTGTGCACTTACTTCCCATGCAGGACCTCTGTCCTCAACGAGTTGTACTGTGAGTTAACTGTAAAACTAGTTCTCAAACAGATTGTTTTTGTGTGTATTTGTGTGCAAATTTACGTAGTATAGAGTTGGTCTTCTGTGTTTAAAGTGAATTGAAAATGAATCTTAATGGAGAATGGGACTGGGAATGGGAGAGGGAGGAGGAGGAGAGGTGGGAGTGTGGCTGGGAGGGCGGGTATGGTGGGAAAAATAACTATATTCCTAAAGTTGTACTTAAGAAATTTGTATTCCTTAAATAAAAGGTTTCTTTGGGCGGGGGGGAAAAAGTGGAGCAGCTGGGAGTAAACCAGTACCCATGTGGTATGCCTATGCCAAAGGTGGGTGCTTAACCTGCTACATCACAGCACCAGCCCCCATTATTTTTATAATAACAAAAAGATGCTAACATCTTTTTAGAAATATTATTTATTTATTTGAAAAGCAGACAAAGAGAGATTCCATATTCTGGTTCACTCCACTAATGGCTCCAACAATCAGGTCTGGGCCAGCCAGAAGCCAGGAGCCAGGAATCCATCTAGGTCTCCCATATGGGTGGCAAGGACTTAAGTACTTGAGCCATAATCTTTTCCTTCCTAGGTGCATTAGAGGGATCTGGACTAGAAGTGGAGCAGCTGGGATTCAAACTGGCACTCCAATATGGGATACAGGCCTTCCAAGTGACAGCTTAATCCTTTGCACCGTACACCTGTCCCTACAACTAACCTCTTAAAGCTGTTAAAATAAAGGCACAGTGAGGTGAAAATGATTGGGTCAAGCCCACAGCAAGTAAGTGGCAAAACTAAGAGCTAGGGTTTAATAGGGATCAAATGATCCTCTGCCCTAAATGATGTCCCTCCTAGTTCTAACACTTCCACATTAGATTTGGGATGAATGCAATAATCATAACTGAGATAACAACATAGCTAAGATTTTATCTTACACCTTCCATGTTCTAATTCCTCTGCTAAATTCCCTGCATAGATTAGCTCATATAAACTTCACAGAACACCTGTCATGTCCACATCTGCAATTTAAAGACCACCAGTGATGGAGCCAGGGTTTGAGCACAGCCCCTTAGTGCTAAGCCACTGAGTCAGAGATCCCAACTCAGATTCCTAAAGGGGAGGGCCGACTCCACGGCACAGAGGGTTAAAGCCCTGGCCTGCAGGGCTGGTATCCCACATGGGCTACCCTTCCAGTCCTGGCTGCTCTGCTTCTAACCCAACTCCCTGCTAATGCACCTGGGAAAGCAGAGGAAGATGGCCCAAGTGCTCGGCCCCCTCCTCCCACGTGGGAGACCCAGAAGAAACTCCTGGCTCCTGGCTTCGGATTGGCACAGCTCCAGCCATTGTGGTCATTTGGGGAGTGAACCAGCAGATAGAAGACCTCTCTCTGTCTCTACTTCTCTTTGGAACTCTGTCTTTCTTTCTTTTTTTTTTTTAATTTATTTATTTATTTTTTTATTTTTTGACAGGCAGAGTGGACAGTGAGAGAGAGAGACAGAGAGAAAGGTCTTCCTTTGCCGTTGGTTCACCCTCCAATGGCCGCCGCGGCCGGCGCGCTGCGGCCGGCGCACCGCGCTGATCCGATGGCAGGAGCCAGGAGCCAGGTGCTTTTCCTGGTCTCCCATGGGGTGCAGGGCCCAAGCACCTGGGCCATCCTCCACTGCACTCCCTAGCCACAGCAGAGAGCTGGCCTGGAAGAGGGGCAACCAGGACAGAATCCGGCGCCCCGACCGGGACTAGAACCCGGTGTGCCGGCGCCGCTAGGCGGAGGATTAGCCTAGTGAGCCGAGGCGCCGGCTTGGAACTCTGTCTTTCAATAACAAAATAATGGAAGCACGAGGAGGACCCTACACAGATCTCGGAACACAAGACAATGTCTGCCCATCATTTATTCATTTGGATCTGTGATAGGATTTCCTCTTCACACCAGCAGTTAAAGCACAAGAGTGGTGACAGATGACAAAGGACATAAACTGGTCAATTAAAGGGAGAGTCTGCTTTGTCTAAAGGGACAGCCATCATTCAGCTGCGACCCTGCAGTGCCAGGTAGGCATGTGGTGCAGTGTTGCCATAGTTTCTGAGATAAATGAATTTAAAAAAAAAAAGTATTTATTTATTTGAAGGTAAAGTTACAGACAGAGAGAGGGAGAGACAGAGAGATAGAAGTCTTCCATCTGCTGGTTCACTCCCCAAATGACAGCAACAGCCGGAACTGAGCTGATCTGAAGCCAGGAGCTTCCTCCAGGTCTCCCACGTGAGTGCAGGGGCCCAAGCAGTTGGGCCATCTTCTACTGCTTTCCCAGGCCATTAGAGAGCTGGATTGGAAGTGGAGCAGCCAGGACACAAACCGGCGCCCATATGGGATGCTGCAGACAGAGGCTTAGCCTTCTGTGCCACAGCGCCAGTCTTGAGATAAACACATTTTTAAATGAAATCTTTTGGCTTTTAAAAGATGACAAGACAAAAAAAAAAAAAAAAAAAAACCCAAAAAAACCCTGCAGCCTGGTCTTGGCCTTCTTGACCTCCAGAAAGTCCTGCTCGAGCAGGTCTGTGTGGTAGGGATTTAGGCTGTGCAGTGGACGACAACAGGCTGATTGCGCAACAGTGTGGAAAGGCCAGGGTAGAAGACTCCTGACACGCACCTAAGGAAGTTCAACTCTCCAGCCAGGGAGAGGCAGAAGCCTGGTTGTTTTGTTGTGTCTAAAAAGGGAGAGCAACATCGCTGAGGGTGAAGGACAGAAGCTGTGCTGTGCCCGCAGCTGCCGCCCTGAATCCAGGTAGCGGGAATGAACTTACGTCACCACCAGCCACGCTCTCCCTGAACTCATGACGGACTTGCTTATATCAAAAGGGCAGGTATGCACCCTCCATTAATTACACAGCGGCAGCATCACTTCATTCAAAACAAAAGCCTGTGACCCTGAAGAGGAAGCCCCTGGGAAACCTGGGAAACGTGAGGAAGAGATCTGGGGGAGAAACAGGGGTTTTGGGATACAGCTTATTGGAGGCGGGGCTTGGCATAGAAAAAAGGAAGGGAAATGTTCTGGCTTGAGAGGAGGCAGCTTTAAAACAGCCCAGGAAAGTGAAAGTGGACGAGGGAAAGAAAACACACACACACACACACACACACACACACACACACGGAGGTCAGGTATTCAGAAAGGCGACATGGCAGGCCGGCAGGGGCGAAACCCGCAGACAAAAAAGGAGAGTGGAGACCCCTCAGGTCCAGGCTCGGCAACCGAGGGAGCAGGGACAGCATTCTGGAAAGATGTGACGGCACCACAGAGACTGCTTTAACAGACACCGCAGCCAGAGGATTTATAGGGGGAAGAAGAGAAGAGGCGGGAATGTGGGAAAGGATTTGAGCGACTGGAGACCACTGGGAAGAGATGAGCCTCAGATGTCAGAAAGGAACATATGACGGGATTCTGGAATATGCTCAGAGTAAAACTAAGGTCTGGTCTATAAAAAAATGCAAAGTTCTCTCTCCACAAGTGCTTAAGAAGTGGCCCTGAGGGGAGCCAAAGACAACAGGGAACTGCATTCCGAGGGCGTGAGGACAAGAAGGCAGCTACCAGAATGTTCCAAACAGAGCAGACGCTCGTCTCTGCCGTGCAAGGTTGTCCGTGGTCATAACATCACCCACATCGGAATAAAGTGTTCCAAGAACTGACCTTGTCAGAGGTGACCTCGTGATGGCCCAAGGCGTTCTGGGAAAACAGCAGTAGGCAAGAAGACTGAAGAAAAGAGGAGTCTTTGCCATCCTTGTGGCCTTGAGATTAAAAGGACCATCTGCACCAATAACATAATATCCTAATTAAAAGCATCACGGGGCATTGTGGGGTAGAAGCTAGCAATATCAGCATCCCATATTGGAATGCAGTTCAAATTCTGCTTTGCTTCCAATCCAGCTCCCTGCTAATGCACCTGGGAAGGCAACAGACTGGCCCATGTACTTCTGTCCATGTGACCCTATGGAAGGCCAAGATGGAATTCCTGGCTGCTGGTATCAGCTTGGCCCAGCTAGGGCTATTGGACCCATCTGGGGAGTGAACCAGTAGATGGAAGAGCTATACTCCCTGCTCCCTCTCCCTCTCTGTCACTGTCACTCTGCCTTTCAAATAAATATTAAACAAATAAATCTTTAAAAGTTTCAGGTGACTATTTGGCAAAACAGTTAAGACATTGGTTAAGATGCCCACTCCGCACACTGGAGTACCTGTGTTCAGTGCCCAGTTATAGCTCCTGATTCTAGCTTGTAGGGTGGAAAACTTTTTTTCCACCAAGGACCATTTGGATATTTATAACATCATTCATGGGCCATACAAAATTATCAACTTAAAAATTACAGATTTATTGATTTTCAAGTCCCACCTACAGTTGCCTTGGCAAGACAAGACCAGATGATTTCACAGGCCTTGTGGGACCCGTAGGCCAGACATTCCCCACTGGAAGAAGGCCCTGTCACTGACATGGGAGACCTGGATTGAATTCTAAGCTCCAGACTTCGCACTGCCCAGCCCTGGCCACTGTGAATATTTGGGGGAGTAAATCAGCAGATGGGAGTTGTTTCTCTGTCTCTCAAATAAGTAGTGTGTTTCTTAAGGAAAACATCAACTTGTACATCAAAGGAGAAGAAAACAGGGAGGCAAGAGGAAGGAGTGTCATTGACAGCAACAGGAAGGGCCTACCACTTACAAGTGTGTTATACAATGCCCAACTTCTCACCTACAGTATTCTATTAAAATTCCATAATGGATAAAGATGGTCCATTTACCAAACAAAATTGTAGAAAGGTGGGCCTCTGCCATAGTGATGAAGATGCCACCTTGGATGCCTCTATCCCAAATCAGCATGCTTGGGTTTGAGTCCTGACTTTTCTCCAACTTCCGGCTTCCTGCTAACGCAAACTCTGAGGACAGCAGGTAAAGGCTCAGGTACCTGGGTCCTTGCCACCAACTTGGGAGGCTCCTAGCTTTGGTCTGGCTCAGCCCCAGCTGTTGCAGGCATCCGGGGAGTGAACCAGCAGATAAGAGATCTCTCTGTGTTTCTCTGTCAAATAAAGAAAGAAAAATTTAAGGAAAGAAAAATACCTGGAACTGACATAAAATCAATTCCCAGGAAATGTCAAATCTATACACAGTTTTAGAGCCAAGTGCTACTGGAGGCTAAAGCTGTTCTCACCGCATCACACTGTTGGACTGAGGGCCCTGTTCCACCTGGGTCACTGCAGAAGCCTGCTGGCTTGCACCTCTCTCACCCTCCCCAACTCCTCACCCAGTGTGTAGCCTGGGAAATCTTTCCAAAATGCAAATTCCATCACAGTGCTGCCCTACTTGAATCCCTTCCATACATTCCCTTTCATCTCGGATGGAGTCCAAACTGCTTAGCATTCCTGCAAAGGCCCTTAGGGACCTAGCCCTGCCACCTCCCTGGTCTCATCTCAAGCTCCTCTCAATGTGGGGCATGATTTAGTGACTTGGAATAGATCTAAGTCCCAGAATGCACTGTGTTCCTTCTCAACTCCAGGCCTTCACATACATGGTCCTTTATGCCTGAAGCACCCTTCCCCTCCCCTCTCACCCCCACAGTACTTCACCTAGCTCACCAAACCTAACACACTTGGTTACAATCCTTTCTACCTGTCCTGAGGTCCCCATACTGCCTCTACCAAGAGGTAAAGTCCGCTTTCTATCTGGCTCACCCTTGAGTTCATCACACCTAGCACACACCTCACATATCACAGGGCTTGAATGTATGAACAAATGTGATGGAGTGAGACTGTCATTGGTTACTAATGTAGGAGGCTAGGTTGGGAGTTCCTGGCTCATGGCTTCAGCCTGGTCTAGACCTGGCTATTGCAGTGATTTGGAGAGTGAGCCAGTGGATGGAAATCTCTCCCCGCTCCTTGCTCTGCCTTTCAAATCAATCAATCAATCATTAAAAACATTTTTTGGCTATCCAGGTCCTTTGAGTTTCCATGTGGATCTTTGGCTTCTTTTTTTCCAGTTCTGTGAAGAATTTTATTGGTATTTTGATGAGGATCACATTGAATCTGTAAATAACATTAAGAAACATGGATATTTTAACAATATCAATTCTTCCAATCCATGAAGATTGGGGATCTTTATATTTTTTGTCTTCAACGTCTTTCATCAGACCTTCATTTTCTTTCTTTTTTTTTTAAAGATTGTTTTATTTATTTGAAAGACAGAGTTGCAGAGAGAGGTAGAGCCAGAGAGAAAGAGAGAGAGAAGGCTTCCATCCTCTGGTTCACTCCCCAAATGGCTGCAATGGCCAGAGCTGATCTGAAGCCAGGAGTCAGGACTTCCAGGTCTTCCATGTGGGTGCAGGGGCCCAAGGACTTGGGCCATCTTCTACTGTTTTCCCAGGCCATAGCAGAGAGCTGGATCAGAAGTGGAGCAGCTGGGACTCAAATCGGCACCTATATGGGATCTGGGCACTGCAGGCCAGGGCGTTAACCCGCTGCGCCACAGCGCCGGCCCCCAGACCTTCATTTGCAAGGTCTCTCACATCCTTGCTTAACCTTTTTCCTAGATATTTTATTTTATTTTTTGGTTGCTATTGTAAACAAGACTGCTTTTATGATTTTTTTTGCTCAATGAGTTTGTTGTTGGTGTATAAGGCTGCTACTGATTTTTGAATGTTTATTTTTTTATCCCACAACTTTACTGAATTTATTTGTTCTATAATCTTTTAATGCTATCTTTAATTTTTTCTATGTATAGGATCATATCATCTACAAACAAATATAATTTGGCTTCCTTTTTATAGGCCTTTTTTTTTTCTTTCTCTGACCTAATTTCTATGGCTAAAATTTCCAGCACTAAATTAACTAAGAACAGAGGTATGAACATGTTTATGAAGTTCCAGATCTTACAAGAAAATACTTCAATTTTTTCCTACTCAGTATGATGTTGGCTATGGGTTTGTGGCATACCACCTTTATTGTGTTGAAATACATTCCTTTTATTCCTAGCTTGTTCACAAGATTTTATCACAAATGGATGGTTCAAATGCTATTTCTGCATCTATTGAGATGATTGTATGGTTTTTATCCGTCATCCTGTTGATGTGATGTATTATGTTTATTGATATGTATACATTGCAAACTTGCATTCCTGGGATAAATCCCACTTGGTTATAGTGATCATTGTTATATGCTTTTGGATTTGGTTTGATAGTGCTATCTTGAGAATTTTTAGATCTATGTCCATCAAGGTTATTATTCTATAGTTTTGTAGTTGTTTCTGTGTCTTTGTCTGGTTTTGGTATCAAGGTAATGCTAGCCTTGTAGAATGAGTTTGGAAGAGTTCTCTCATTTTTAATTTTCTGAATAATTTAAGAAACACTGGTATTAGTTCTGCTTAAAAGCTTTGGTAGGATTCATCAGTGAAGCCATCAGGTTTTGGGCTTTTCTTTGTTGGGAGGCTTTTTATTACTGATTTAATCTCATTATTCATTTTTAGTCTGAAGATTTATACATTAATAATTTGATTTTGGTAGGTTTGATATATATAAAATACATATCCGAAGACTTTCAGACATACATATATACCTTAAGATTCTCAGACATCTCAAAAAATTTACCATAATTTATGGAACATAGGCTCTATTTGGCTGCTCTGCTCAGAGCTATGAGCAATTACAGAGAAAATACTCATTTTTTCCCCTTCATCACCAGCTCAGTCTGTTGGCAGAATCTTCATTTTGCCAACATGGTACAGTTCATATGTTCTTTAAATATTTTCAGGGTTGATCTGACAAAGAATCCTTGACCCATCTGTTAAGCATTTGGTAATCGCCAGTTGACCAATGACTTGCTCCCAGACTACGAAGGCCTTGAGAGAAGAGAAAGAATTTTGTTCAACATCAGCATCCCAGTGCCTACCACAGTGCTGGACTTAAAATAGTCCCTGAATGAATGAAAGAATAAAGAACTGAACAAGTGAGCAAGCGAACAAGGCAGGTCTTGGAATAAAGCTTTGGAATCCAGGTCACAGTCTCAGGTATTCTAGAAATGATTCTGTGACAAGTCTCCTAGGGGAAAATCAGCCATGGACACACACACACACACACACACACAGAAGAGACTGCAGGGCCTGAGGATGGCAAAAGAGGGGCAGGATAGGACTTAACAATGGTTTTCCAGTGCCAATCCAGGTTCTCTTCTGTGTTCTTAGGCTCAGAAGGGAGGTATCATAGGGCAGCCACACCCACAGAGATTACTAAAATGGTTTCATCCCCAACCCCAAACCTGCTTTCTGAAGCAAATCATGGAGACTGATCCATAGATCAGTAAGTAGATACATCCATATATTGTTCACCACACATTTTCAAAAACCTATTAAACAAACCCTCTGATGACAGCTTATTGAAAATGTATAGTAATAGTCACCAATATAATCAATATTCAACTAAAATAAGGTTATTTGGATAGTTTCTATACTCTTCAGAATTCAGAATAAAAAATTGAACTTCTAGGAAAAGCTATTGAAACAGTTATCTTTACACACACACACACATACACACACAACACACACTCCTGAAATTTACCTGCTGCTAACTTGTTAGTTCCCTGACTAAACATTATTTCTGCCACACACTTTAGTACCAAACAGTACCTTGCAGTCGGTTAAAAAACCTTTATCAAGGTTAGAGTATGGTATTATTTTGACACCAGACAGTTCTTTGCTTTTGTGTAGAATCACTGTGTTGCCTGAACAGTGTATGATTTCGCTTTTGTGCAGACAATCAGCAGATCATTAGTGTACCATACAAATCGCCCTGGACTCAGGATGGAGCCCTGGGGAACTGAAGCTGTTAGACTGCAGAGACCATATGCTGGTTGCCGACAGTCACCTCTGATGGCAGGTAAAAAGGTATGATTGCAGCCACATGACAGCTTAAGACAGCAGATCCCTGAGCTGGTCACGTGAAAAATTCTGATTAATAGGGTCACTAATCATTATGAATTTTTAAGTTTTCACAGAGCACTTCATCTTATTCTATTATTACAGCACGAGACTCACAAGCTCCGTTATGAAATAGCCATGTTTTAACATTATTTGCTTGCCTCTGGTTTTACACACTGACAAATATAAATTCATTTATTCAGCTGACTTGGGAGGAGGGAGAGTCCTGCTGCATATTTAGAAGGTTCATAAAGAAATCTTTGCATCCGAAAATAAATGTGAGATCAGCTAGGAATACGAGCCAGAATTCAGCACTTCTCCTCAGGCGCATACGTTTGCACGCACGCACACACACACACACACACACACACAGAGGAGTAGGTCTCTTTCTCTCTATCCACATCTGGCAATGATGTGGGCATAGTGAAAAGATTTCAGATTCCCTCCAGAAAGCCCTTGGGCTACAAGAAAAATCATCCTACAACTACTAAACCCATCTTAGATATATCTCCCATATGGCAAAGCCCTGTTTTGCTTTATTACAACAAATTGGTCCTTGGATTACTCTCACAGCTGTTTCTCCTATTGTTGCTGATGCACTGAGCCCTGGAAATAGGCAAGACTCCACGAGCACAGCCAGGATACCCCCATGACTGGGTTGTGTGTGCACTAAGTGATATCACCTGTAAGGAGCGCTGGGCGCTCCGGATAGAGAAGAGCCTGACAGCCAGCAACAACTCACCGGAGTCAAGGAACATTTGCGACTGCGATATTGTGGGTGAGAAAAATCCGAACAGGGTTTGAATCAGATGACAACAAAGCAAAAAGGATACTAGAATGAGCAAACCAACAAATAGCTTTTTCTCAGAATTTCTCCTTTACTATTTCCCACCAAAGTTCAGTTTGACTCGAGAAACACTGGTGCATCCAGGCACCTGACCCTTCACAAGGCCTGGAGACACCAGATGACTGGGGCCACGCCCTGGCCATGGCTGTCCT